ACGAATTCTCGTGAACTACTGAGATTCAGAGGTATCTGTTTGCAGGGGTCGTCGTTTCATAGCGTTCCATGTCACCATACAAATTTTGAGTAAAATTGATCCAGATTTGATTGAGATATGGTATTTTGGCCCCTCGTACGTGTCGCCCACTGTGAGTTCAAGATGTTCGTGGAGGGCGTGACTCTCCAGGAAGGCCTTGCTTCGGTTCGCTCGCTCCCCTCGGCCGATCTCAACATGACCAGCGCAAAGGCAGCGTCGGTGGACTGGACCACTGGCAAGTGCGTCAACCCCGTGCGCAACCAAGGCCAGTGTGGGTCGTGCTGGGCCTTCTCGGCCGTGAGTGCTGCTGAGTCGGCGCACTGCATCGTGACGAGAGAGCTTCTCGACCTGTCCGAGCAGCAAGTGACGAGCTGTTCCACCAACGGTGGTAGCGTGGGCTGTAGAGGTGGTTGGCCGTTTGCTGCCATCACGTACACCACCCAGGGAATGTGCTTGGAAAAAGACTATCCCTACACATCTGGCAAGACAAGTCAAACTGGCACGTGCACGAACACGTGTACCAAAAAGAAACTCAAAATTGGTGCTGCTTACCAAGTGGCGGGAGAAGCAGCTCTGGACACAATTTTGAACACCCAACCGGTGTCGGTGCTGGTCGAAGCGGGCAACTCCGCGTGGATGAACTACCGCTCCGGTGTGATCACGCAATGCCCGGGGTCACCTTCTGACCATGCTGTCATTGCCGTGGGGTACGATGGTACGACATACAAGATCCGGAACTCGTGGGGCACTAGCTGGGGCGAAGCCGGCTACATCCGCCTCAAGCGGGGCGTGAAAGGCCTTGGCATGTGCAATGTCGCGGAAGTGGTTTCGTTTCCTCAAATTAGCAAACCAAACCCAAAGCCCACTGTTCATCCAGGCTGTGCCACGTGCAGTGAGTGCTACTTCGCTTCCGCTCGGAAGTGCTTGAATTATGACAAGGACGACTGCGCGTACTACAACAAAAACTACGGGCTTTTCTGGTGCGGCAAATAAACCTGCGCGATCTGTGGTCGCGCACTTCATATCGCGCCCGAGTGTGTTGAGTGGTTGTTGTACGTACATTGTGGGAGTAACTGAATTCACATCAATGATGTTTTATTGTGACGAAAAAGTCACATTATCAACAAACGTGAATCGCATAGCGTTATATTCGCCAAGTACGATGGCTTTGGCGCAAGAGCCCTATTCCTGATTGCCTACAGGCTAAGTCAGCCGCCTTGACTTCCACTTGTCACTTGCTGCAAGCGATGCCTCGCGGAAAGAGTGCCATTCAATGGCTCGTAACGTAGGCTCTCAGTGATCAGCCGAATTTCACCTTCCTAAACTTGAGTGTTTCTCGCGCAATTTTTACAACCACAAGAAGTGAGGTATACTAGTATGCTGAAATTCCTCCAGTCACTCAAACAGGACTCAATGATCAGCCGAATTTATACTGGATTAAACTACTGATGTCCATCCGACTTTTAAACGGCGGCTGAGTAATAACTTTAAAAGGACACAAAATTAAACAGGTACAATTTCTTACAACTGGTGGATGGCCGCTACATGGTCGCTAAATGTCGACAGTTTAGTGTCAAGAATGCCTGTCCGATTCCAGCAGTTAACAACTGTCGCTTGTGTCACCGACCGCCAGGCCTCCATTGCCCAAGACATTGCCTCCACCACCACCAAAGGTACCTCGTAGAGACCATCTTGTCTACCAGACATCACAGAATCAACCTGTTGCAGGGCGTTCTGCACTTGGAGCTGGTTCACTCTCGCCTTGAACGAGGCAATGATGCCAGCGTCCAGGGGCTGCAGGTGCGCTGTTGTATTCTTCGGTAGCATTTTCACCTTCACATTTGTCAATAGGGACTCATCGTTGGGTCGATGTGGTGGCGCGTTGTCGACCAGAAGGAGAACCTTACGGTTCTCGGAAAGCATCCGCTGGTTCATCTGCAGTAGGTACGTGTTGAAAATCCCACCGGTCATCCATCATTTTTTGCTCGATAGGTAATTGAAGCCAGGGTCAGTGGCCGCAACACCGTTGAAGCACCGCGGTCGGGCAGCAGTGCCAATGAAAAGCGGATCGACGACGTCCGTACCGGCAGCATTGGTGGTAAGTGCAATATGTTTTTTAACTTTTTCGTCCCTGGTTGCCGCTTGCGTGTGATTGAACGATGTGGGGATAGACAGTAAAAGAACGACGTCTCATCCATGTTGTAGGTGTTGCGAGCACTGTAGCCACCGGTGGCTGCCTTCATTTCTTGACGGCCCTCGGCGACGACAGCAGGGGACACAGGGGCAGCCTCTCCATGCTGCACTTTGCTCGTAAGTCCATGCTTGACTTGGAACTTATATAACCATCTCTTAGTGAAGGCGATGCGTTTCGAAGCGAGGATGTAGATTTGGTCGCAAACGATACACGCCTGCTTGCAGATGAGTTCGCCAGTGATGCATATCCCCATGTCTTCGCACCGCAGGATCCAAGCAAGGACACTTTGTTCGATCGACGGCAGACAGGGAAACAGGACAGATAATACTACGCATTTTGTTGTCGGCACGAGGGTTTAGCGTAGTGTGTCGTTTTAGTACATTTCCACTTGTCGCTTTTGTTGCGATTGATGCGAGGGTGAACTTTTCAGCAGCCCACATAGCCAATTGGGAGTACGTAGCGGTTGGAGGTTCCTTGTGATGAGCATACAGCTCGTGCTTATCGAACAAGGTCATGCGTAGCTTCATGATTTCAATGTGGCATCATGCAAACATCATTGAGCCTTTTGAAATTTCAATTTCACCTTGACATTCGATATTATAAATCCATAAAAATTATCGACTTTGGCCCGTTTAAAAGTCGGGTGGAAATCAGTATAAGGAAAATGACGGGTGAATCCTACAAATATATCATCTTATAGAGGTTTACCATTTTGTACAGGAATAGAATCTTGAAGGAGGGGTGCTTAGCGATATGCATTGTCTCAGACCCAAAACGAGGTTATGTAGCTCAGTGTCAAAGGGGGGGGGGTATTCGTAGTAAATTACTGGGATCGACGGAATGCAACGCCAACTTTGACATCGTGCTGAGGATGATTCCACAAACCTAATTGGACCATGTACTTATATGTTCGACCAAAATAATAGCCTACGAGAGCTGACGATAGAAATTTCATTCATTTATGAGGTAATGAAATTGTGAAACTCTCGTAGATTCAAATATTGAGCTTTCACAAAAGGGACAAAGTATAACGTAGAGGTCATTAGAAGATAATGGAGGCTTCGAACTTTCTTTGATTTATACAATGGTCACGTTGCAAGCGTAAGCGTTTGACGCGATAGCGCAGTGGTAATACACGTTATGTGTCTTGATTGAGCCCCGGATTCGAGTCCCGGGGCTCACTCAGATTATCTTGGTTCAAGTTTGTAAAAAAATTGCAAAAAATACATCGAATTACAACCAATTATTGTGGGATGACCTTTGCAAAGCTTTGGCGAATTACATCTTCAGTGACCAAGTCCCAGGTAGCAATCGCACGTTTCACCATGACCATTCGCTTTTGCTTGGCCGAAAGAGAGTAGGGATCCTCATCGCCTCCAACCACTTGTCCTCATAAGCCACAGGTTTCAAGGGTTCCTCTTGAAAGGAGCCATCACGCCGACGTCAAGAGGCTGGCAGGCGGACGTTGAGTTCTGGCGCAGAGGGCACAGGCGCGTACCCAATTCGTCATAAATGAACTTTTATTACTCGTCGGACACATGAGCGTCGAAAATGTCCACAAGTACGACTGACGGGCCCTCGATGTGCTCGCCCAAGGCGTCACGAAGGTACTGTGCCCAGACTCAACTGTCCATCGAGGCATTGTCCTGAACAGCGTATTTGTGACCAGCGGGAAAGGATGGGAAATATTCCTTCTCAATGCGACCGCGGGGCTTGCTCTTCATTATAGTCATGAGAGGAACCTTGCTGCCGTCAGCTGTGACCGTGAGGACTGTCATTCGCATGGAGTGCTTTTCGCCGCAGGATATCTTCGAACTGCCACCCTTGACTGCCCAAATGTACGTCGGAGGAAGGTCATAGTACATCCCGGTTTCGTCAACGTTGCACACACAGTTCTTGTCATTGGAGGCGTATTCGCGGTGAAAATCGGCAGCGAATTGCTGGTGAGTCTCGTTGAGGACGCTTTGTTTAAGCTTGTTTTTAGTTTGGCGTGGGCGAGAGAATCCAGACTGCTTTGGTATGTCGGAGATACTGTGTTGTGGGCATGGGGGATAATAAATACAATACTTCTAGTCGGAGGTAACGGGGAGTTGCCGAGTTGGGCTCAGAGACATGAGTGCGTTGAGAACAAGGCCGCACTGCTGGTTCTGCTGTCGGGCCTGTGGGGTTGAGAAGTAAGCACTTCTCAACCCCACATGGGTACTTGGTCCAGAGTCGACGGTAGTTGAATTGGTTGCTGAGTGGACGTAGAATTCAAACTACGTTAGCCCGAAGTGGGTAGTCGGGGTGCTGGAACCGAAGCCACCGGCGGACTGAATGCATCCAACCGATAAATGTTAGTTCTTCCCAGACACGCGGGGGGAGTGCAGCGCGATTATCGTACAGAACTTGTTGTGTTGGGCCCATATACGGTGTAGGACGTTCGCAACGAGGAGCTTCCACAGCATGTGCAGGGCGTCAGTCTTATGGGCGTATACGGGGCTCACAGCAAAACTGTCCAGGTTGGAGTGGCTGTCCACGAAAAGTCGATGCCGTAATGCCGCCATGCTGCCGCGTGGAATTGCCAAATTGGGCGACCGTGGACACATGCGTGGAATGTGTGGTGTTGGGTTTTGACGAGCCCACAGCCATAGACACAGCACACAGCATCAGGGAGACCGGATTGGAGGTGTGCAAGTCGGCTGTTGACTGGGAGCATGCAGAATAGCAAACGCAGCCAGACATTCCCTTGGACAAGTGGAGGGAGACTACATGTCTGCCGGACTCAACGGACAAAACTGGCGATGGCAATTGGTGTGTCGCGAGAGGTGATGGCCATGGGGTGACGAACGTAGGCTGTAGGGGCGTGGTACGCCATCGCCACTATCATTTTCTTCGTCCAGTGTTGGAATGGTCGCGCCACGCCTTTGACATACGCGAAATATGTGTGGGATTCCGCGACACCAGGGGGGTTGTCTACTGAGCGCTGGAGACGCGTATACAACGAGGTCAGGTGGTTGTAGACCATGCCCAACCTGTAGATGGGTGCCCAAGTGATGTTGCCAGATGGGTCTAGACGCACCCGAGCGGCTGGGTTGGCTTGTGACATTCGAGCCAGGAACTCAGTTTGGGATGGCCACTGCCCGTGCTCGGTGAGCATGTCAGCAAGGCATCGGTTGCCATTGTTGGCGCAGTGCAGACACCAACGGCGGGTCGGAGGAGCAGTGACGACTCTAGCAGTGCAGTGACCACTCGCCGATAGGAAAGGCTGGTAGCACGACAGCCATACTGGCAGTTGCATCATTGTTGCGAGGGACGGTGGGAGCGGGATGCGCCGGGACATAGGGACGGCGGCCCATTGGGCTCAAATATCAATGCACAAGAGATGCATCTCCCACAACATGAGTCCTTTCGAGCTGCGATGGGTGTGGTACAGCAAGACATCGTACATGTGTGAGTTTCGCGAGAGTTTGCCCAATACTCGTGCAAATTGTCGTTGGACGAGGTTCAACCATGGGGTAGAGTCCAACGAGCCAGGCAGCATGAGACGTTGAAGCAGTCGTATTGCCATGTTCGAGCAATGAGTGGTTGGTACTGGTCAGTACGCAGTGTGTTGCGGCCAAGGATGAAGCGGTTGAGCATCGATTGCCATTCACGAACCATCGAGGGGGCACTGGAGTCAAAGCCGGGACTTGCAATAGTAAGGACAACATGACTGTACGTACTAGCAGGCGTCGACCGTGAATGGTCCGGGCTCGGCAGCCCCATTGCTGAAAACGCGCGAGGAATCGGTCATGCACATGGGCAATTTGGTAGTCTCGGGGGAGTCTGTGAGCGAGGAGGAGGCCGAATATTTTGCCGGAGGTCCTGACACAGTCGTCTATGTCCGTGGGGTCCAGATGGTCATTCAGAACCAACGTCATGCACTTAGCTTGGTTAAGCATCGCACCCGACACGACGCAAAACTCCTCGACGATGTGCATCTGCTCCACGGCCGATGGAAGGTCGCATGAGAGCAGTGTGGAGTCATCGGCGAAGAAAATGCTGGTCAGAGGGTCACCGTCGGGAAGGGGGATGCCTAGGTGAGGCTGCTGACGGAGCATGTCACCGAGAGGCTCAAGGTACAGGACAAAAAGCAAACACGACAACGGGCAACCTTGTTTGACGCCTCTGGTGGGTGTAAACTGCGGAATCAGGACGCCGTTGAAAATTAGCCAAGCAACGGGTGAGGCGTAAAGGAGCCTCATTGGCTCGGCCTTTCTTGACTGAGCCTCACCCAGTCAAGAAAGGCCGAACCAATGTTCATCTCCACGAGCTGGTCGAACAGGAAGCCCTGGTCGACCATGTCGTACGCTTTGGAGAAATCCAGAAACTTAACATTGTGGTCATGATCATTTGACGTACAGATCTGCTGCAAGGCTTGCATGAGAATGACGTAGTCGTGGAGGCGACAGCCACGGATGAATCCAGCTTGTGAAGGGTGTACGAGCTTTGGAGCGAGACGGGGGAGGGGGACAACGCACGCGACAAGATTTTCACTTCGACCGGCATGAGTGCAATGGGCCGATAGTTGCAAGGATGGCTAGTTCGCCAGCATTGTACAACAGAGCAACTGCACTCTCGCGCTGGAGCGGGAGTAGCCATCCATGTAGTGGAGTTGGTAGGTGAATACCTTCAACAGGATCTCAGCGAACACCGCTGGCGCAACTTGGAAGAATCCTGCGGACCACCCATCTGGCCCGGGGGACTTCGCCGGGTCCATGGTCTTGAGCGCGACGTGCAGCTCAGCGGCAGTGAGAGGTTCGTCGAGTGTAGCACGGTCCTCACGCGATAGCCGCTTAGACAGAGTGCGCACCACAGCTCTACGGCGCTCTCGATTGATGGGGGGACCACCTGTAGGAGCTGACATGATGTGTTTCCAGTGCTGGGTGAACGCATCATGGACAGCTCGAACATCCGTCACGACAACGCCATCGACAGTGGCTGAGGTAATGGGTACTTTGGATCCACAGGGGCGGCGAAAGAAGTGTGACGTGCCACGCTCATTAGAGCTTGCGTGGAAGTCGAACTGTTTGTCGCGACAGACGTGTGCAAACTCTTCGCGAGCCGACGCATACGCCAGTCAATTCGCCACTACCTCCTCTGCACCATAGCCCGAACGCTCAAAGGCTCGCTTGGCCGCCACCACGCGCAAGCAGGTACTCCAGGTTAGCCTTGCCAGCTTGGAGGTGTTGGCGATGACACTTGACTAATTGAGACTTGATGCGCTTCAACCACCCATACCACATCGCTCCGTGATTGCGGTCTGGGTTGGAGTTCATCTCGTCGAGGAAGGTAGATGCTTCCTCTTGGATTGCTTTAACGACATTAAAGTCGTCAAGGAACTCGCGGGGCAGACGCCAATATCCCTTGGACGGGGGTGGCATGTTGTTGGAAAGCATCAATGTGTGCGACAAGTGGTCGCCGCCATGAACGTTGGCATTGTACGACGCCACAGAACTGAGCTTGGTGGCCAGGTCGTGGTCAACAAAGATGTAGTCGAGTCGGTTGATACGACCAGGTCCACTGTACGAGCGTTCCTGAGGGTGCCGAAGTCGCCAAGCGTCAATCACACGCAGGTCTGTGAGCCATTCTACACAATTGGAACGCCACTGACAGGACGAGGGTGCAGGTTGAACGTGTCAAGGGCAGGGTCAATGGGGAGGGTGAAATCGCCTCCGGTAAGGTGTAGGCTGTCGTCTTCAAAATCACGGGGTAGTCCTTGGAAGAACTCGCTGCGAAGGTGAGACTCCGTTGGGGCGTAGAGGTTGTGAATGTAAACCGGGAGGCGATGCCAGGCCGTCCTGACAACTAGGTAACGTCCCAGGACATCCAGGTGATCAAGGTGAAAAAGGTCAGTGGAAGTCATGCAGCTCCAGAAGAGTCGCCAGGACGCGCAGTATATCGTCGTCGTCAGCGTAGAGGTTTTCAAGGATACGCCATAACTCGGAGCCCAATTGTGTCGTCAAAAGGACAGCGGCGATTGTGTTAGATGAGAGACTGCGAGGTCCGCGATGCATGGCAATGACATTCGACAGGGTCCAGTGGAAGAGAGCACAGCGGCTTCAGAGGTGTAGAACAGTGGACTGTGCACCGATAATCGTCTGCAAAGGTGAGCACCAGCTCCAACTCGAGGCGACTTAGAGACACCTCATCCCCTTCAGCAGTTGCTGCGGAGACACAAGCGAGGTTGTCTGCAATACGCATCTCCCCAAACAAGTGCACCATCGACGTGCGGGTCATGGTCATGCCGAACGTTTTGGTGTAGAGATGGTCAAAGGACGAGTTACCGCCCCAAGTCGCGCGTAGCCAGCGGTGGACAAGCCGTTGGCGAATGAAATACTCAAAGGTTTGGCGGTCGTTCGAGAAGAGTGCATGAAGGTGGATGCCAAAGTCGACGGGGCCTGCTTTGATGAGGCTCGCGAGGTCGAGCGATCCTCGGCTAGTCGCATCGTCGGGTGATGAAGAGCGGCATCTGACGAGCCAGACGCCAGTTCGACCAAGTCTGCAAGGATATCGTCAAGGGGCACTTCGATGTGCGTGGAATGTCCATTCACATCTTTCGCAAACGCCACGTACTCCGCAGAGGTGCTGTACCGCTTGTCTTTGGTTTTCGGGAACAGCTCAGGTATAAGGGAGTTGAAGGATGTGTCACTGTGTCTAGTCTGTTTGACGTGTAGCCGGTGGTCCATCGTTCTTCCAAGGCCGTGAATGCATTAGGAGACACCTACGGACGACCAACAGTGTGTAGTTTGTGCGATCTAAAATTGGACGCTGCGTTGTTGCTGCCGACCTCAGTCCATTTGACAACAGCCCAAGGTGCCGTTTTTTGGCGCTTCGTGGGCTGCGGGGCCTGGCGAGTCTCGGACGGGGTCGGTGGGCTTAATGGCGTAGCAGAGTGGACGTTGCTATCGAAACAAGCGCCCAAGTCCAAACGGACAAGATGCATACCGTCTAGTGTATATCAGTTTAGACAGATATATCGGTTTAGACTCCTCTAGGCATTAATATTTTTGAGCCTTTCACCACAATAGATTATACCAGGTTTACCTTCGCGGCATTAAACCCTCAAATCTTTTATATTTACTCCAACAGATAATAAAGTATTCATTTATAGAGGTAAAATAAATTTTGAGTGGTTTTATGCGCCCAAACGCGCGGGA